CCGACCACCGCCGGAAAACCACCGGTTTTCCCCTCTCGTTTCCTTCGTTTTATTCTTGTTGTTATCTAACTCGTTTACATCTAGTGCTGTAGTTCGAGTGGGTCGAAAATACGAGGTGAAACCTAATTGGAGAGGAGCTGCTGCCCCGATGAATCCACGCACTGCCGCACGCGCCGCACCGCCGCTCACGCGCCGCCGCTGCTGCTGCCACGCGCCGCCGCTGCTGCTGCCATTCGTCGCCGTTCGTTGCTTGCTGGATCAGCTTGTTCCAGCCGTAAATTGCAGCCCCGAGGATTGATAATTTGCAACTTGTACGTGACTCGTTCTAGGATTTCGATTCGTCGAAATCACACGGTACAAGAGGTAAATGAATCGAAACTTTCGTAAATTAATTCGAGCATGTTTTGTATGAATTATAATTTATGATTGTGAGTAATATGTGATTACGTGTTTCAATTTCATTGATTGATGAATAAGCATGTTTCGTAATTTTCGGTTTTACGTGTTTTTCAATTAAATCGATAATTACCATATGTATGGCGGAAGCGTTAAGGTACGTTGACTATGTGATTAGTTTATGCATGTAATCGAAACTAGTTCGATCTAAAAATTTTAAATTCCGCTGCGTATACATGCACGATCCCCAACAATTTCATTGCAATAACTTATGGGATTCTCGGTATTCCCGGGATTTGATATCAGGCTCAAAACATTCATCTGGAGCATTCTCACTAAGAACCACTTGGTTCGAGGGTTCATCAATTTTCCCCTTTCTTTTTCTAGGAACAACGTCCTTTGATCCAATTGGTCTACCCCGTTTTTGTCGTGGGGGATCATCATTCATTTTCGCATGTTCTTCAGGAACAGCGATCCTAACTGGAACATTCACAGCTGGAATATAAGACTTCGTAACTTTACCGGTATCATTAAATGCATCAGGAAGTCTACTGGCAATATTTTGTAAATGAACGATTCTATCGATCTCATTTTCACATTCAGAGGTACGTGGGTCGAGATGAGATAAGCGTTGCTCACACCATGTAAGATTCTCGATTGGTTTTTGTTTATCATTATCACGGATATTCTGAATATCCTTACCGAATGGTATAAATAATGTCTCATCAAAATGACAATCCGCAAATCTAGCGGTAAATAAATCACCCGTCATTGGTTCCAAGAACCTAATCATCGACAGTGAGTCAAACCCAACGTATATGCCAAGTCGGCGTTGGGGACCATTTTAGTCCTCTGAGGAGGAGAAATTGGCACTGGCACAGCGCAACCAAATGTGCGAAGGTGCGAAATATCGGGCTCAAAGCCCAAGGCCAATTGCATTGGGGAATGCATATGATAAGCAGTGGGGCGTAATTTAATCAGTGCTGATGCATGCAATACTGCATGGCCCCATGCCCTCTAGTGAGTTTCGATCTCATCAGCAAAGTACGAGCAATTATTTGGACGCTTTTAATCAGAGATTCCGCCAGTCCATTTTGAGTGTGAACGTATGCTACTGGGTGCTCGACATTTATTCCCAGTGCTGCACAATACTCATCAAAAGTTTTTTATATAAGTTCTCCGGCATTATCAATTCTTATGTTTTTAATGGGATAATCAGGGAAATGTGCTCGAAGTTTAATAATTTGTGCTAGCAAACGCGCAAATGCAACATTTCGCGTAGATAATAAGCATATGTGGGACCATCTACAAGATGCGTCCACCCAAACCATAAAATATCTAAATGGCCCACTTGCAGGGTGTATTGGTCCACAAATATCACCATGAATGCGTTGTAAAAACGCTGGTGATTCATAACCGACCATTTCAATGGAAGGTTTTATAATGTGAACATGATTCACAGAAATATTCATTGGACATCAAGAATTTTGTATCTTTTAATGGATGTCCTTTAGTATGTTGTGCAATCCTACGCATCATAGTCGTTCCTGGGTAACCCAATTGATCATGCCATAACCGTGTATATCGGGATTAACAAGTTTCTATGGCATAGTGGCGTAGGATTCGAAAGCTCGAATTTGGACACAATACAGTCCAGAAGTTGTCGTTTCGAACTTCTCATGAACAATTCTTTTGTCCATTACATATGATGTGACGCATAGACACTGCACGGTATTTTAAACTAGTGTCTCTAAATGATATCCGTTGCATCTCACATCTTTAAAACTCTGTAGATTCTTATTTGATCTACCGGATATTAATGCATTTTCCATATGCAAAGCGATACCATTAGGCAACACAATTGTTGCGTTCTCGGAGCCATCTATTATTTCCGTGGAACCTGCTATGGTCTTAACTTGTGCCTTGCGCAAAGTCACACTCTGGAAATATATTTTATTATTGAATATTGAGTGTGTAGTTGCACTATCGAGTAGGCAATATTCATACAAGTCCATATTTTTCAGGTGCGTGTATCAAAATCAGCTCGACCTCGGGTATTTATCATCCAAGGAAGATATGACATGTGGGTTTATTCAAAACAACTCAATCTTGGGAATTACACCTTCCAAGAGAGATTTATTATATACAATGGGTACAAAATAACCCAAAACCCTTAAATTTGGACTTGCGATTAATAGCCTCTAAGTTGGCTCTTGACGGGTTTTACCTCGTCTAGTGACTCTACGAGCTTCTGGCTCGGAGATATTTTCAGATATTTGGTCTTTAAATCGGCTTTTGACGGATATTATCACGTCTCGACTCAACGAGATTCAGGTTCGGAGTTATATTTATGATTTAGCCTCTAAATCGGCTTTCTTGTCTTAACGAGTTTAGAATCGGAGTTATATTAACGATTTGGCCTTTAAATCAGCTTTTTTGTCTCAACGAGTTTAGACCCGAAGTTATATTTCAGCAGCAATTCAAATAGTATATAAGCTATAGCATATATGTATATACACGAATCCATCATATCCTTTGAGAAATGGTAGCGTATAAAATACCGAAGTATTCGCTAATCATTCTCGTTTGTCTTTTCGACAATAGATCGAGGATCTGGATATTTGTAAAATGAAATAGAAAGAAGAATACGAAAATAACAAATCCCTATCGAGCAAAACCTCGTGCTGCTAACGTGTTATAGAATAAATAATCTAGTTATACTTATTTATATATATATATATATATATATATATATATATATATATATATATATATATATATATATATATATATATATATATATATATATATATATATATATATATATATATAAAGAAATTAAGCAAAACACATTTTTTTGCAAAAGTAAACTGCTGTAATAAGTGTAGGAAAATGTTTGCTAAAAGAGAGTAATTTTATTCATCAACAGACGGGGCCTTTTATAGGCAAATTATTACAAACTTTGTCATTATCAATAAAATAATCAATTCACATGGAAATGACACGTAGCTAGTATAAACTTGCTCTCTAAGTTCCTAAACTTAGTCCATAATTAATATTATAATAGTATGAAGCTTAATTATGAATTTACAATTAATATGATTGTAAGAAGTGGCGGCGGACCCATGGTATTTTTGTTAGGAGTAGAATATAGCCTGATTTAAGAAAATATATATATATATATATATGTGTTTTTTTTTTCAAAACTAAAAGTGGAGACATCCTCAAATATAAGAGATTTTCCATTGCCTCTTCCAACCCATTTTTCTCTCCTGTTGAGAGGCAATTTTTCTCTCTTCTTGAGAGGCTTGTGTTGATGCTATCTCCTTCTATCTTCACCTTTTTGATCTTGTCTTCTAGGGATCTGGCCGATTCGATAGTTTTTTTAATTGTATTTTATTTTTTTGTTTAAGGTTTTGTTGCCACAGTATATAGTTTAATTTCACTCCCCTCAATATTCTTTAACCCACTATCTCCCGCTATCCCTTTTCAGATCCCTATTAACGGCATCGCTAGACTCGTTTCGATCGTTACCTACTCCTTTGTCTATCTCTCATCATCAATATGGACGGTGTCTCAGAAGCTACGGCTAGAAACTTCCATCTCATTGAAAAAGAGGAGGAGGGTCTGACTCTCAACGTTAATTATGGGGAGTTTAGGGTTCAACTCCAAACCCAATGAGTTGTTTATTCTGAAATTGTCAAGGGCTCGGGGCTCATTTGACAATTCATACACTTGGAGAAATTCTCCGGGTACATCGTCCCCAATTGGTATTTCTCTCAGAGACAAGGGCAACAATCGGCGTATATTGAGAAGTTGAAAGCAAAATGGAACCTTTTTGGAATATGTGTGGATAGAGTTGGAATGTCAGGTGGCCTGGCCTTGCTATCGAAAAAGGATGTATTGGTGCATCTTATTAGTCTTTCAAGTAATCACATTGATGTTGAGGTTTTGGATAGTGGTGGTGGGAACTTAGCCGCAGACACCTTTCATGGGATCTTCTTCGAAATCTTTGTCTTGCTCGCGATCTCCCTTGGGTTGTCGGTGGAGATTTTAACGAAATCTTAAGCAATAATGAAAAAGAAGGGGGTAATCAACGACAACCATCGCAAGTGGCTGCATTCTAAAAGGCTTTGGAACACTGCAATCTTGTAGATGTCGGGTTCGAGGGCTTTCCTTTCACGTGGTCCAACAGACAGGTGGCCCCTGCAACAGTTTGTTGTCGCCTCGACAGAGTGTGTGCGACTGGTGAATGGACCACCTTGTTCCCGAACGCCCGAGTTCAGCATTTGAATTTCGTTGGGTTAGACCATTCACTGATCTTGCTCACCTAGTGTGCCCCGAGGTGGTCGAACTACCAAAAGAGGAAGAGACCCTTTTCGGTTTGAAGTCATGTGGATGAGAAAAGCTGAATGTGAAGAAATTGTCAAACATCAATGGGCTGCTAAACTTTCGGAGATCCAGTGGAAGAGCTTATGCATAAAAATTATGGGTGTCGGCTCGCACTCATCGAGTGGAATAAAAACACATTAAAACAGCCCCGTCGAAGAATTGAAGCGATCCATAAACGGCTACAAGTTTTGGATACGACGACACGGACAGAGATGGGGTTGGAAGAGGCGAGGACTCTACGGGCTGAGTTAGAAAATCGTTATGAGGATGACGACATGTATTGGCGCCGGCATAGTAAAATCGATTGGATCCGTGAGGGCGATCGGAACACAAAAATTTTCCAGGCCAAAGCCTATTCTCGAAAACGTTTTAATCGCGTGGATAAAATCCGTGACAATTTGGGGCAATGGAAAGAAAGGGATGAGGATATAGAACATATCATCTTAAGATACTTTGAGGATAGTTTCCAATCTTGCGCACCAGATGAGAATGAGATAGACGAAGTATTGGCAAACATCGAAACTAGAGTCACGGGCAACGCCAGTCAAACATTATCTTTACCTTTTACTACCGAGGAGGTAACTCGAGACATTTCACAAATGGCTACTCTCAAATCCCCCGGCCCTGATAGCCTCCTTATGTTATTTTTTACACTATATATTGGCATATTTTGGGGTCTGGTGTCTTGTCATGTGTTTTAGAATTCTTGAATAATCATAAACTTCCACCAAAATTGAATTTTACCTTTATTGTTCTTATTCCGAAGGTAAAAAAACCATAAAAAATGTCTGACTATAGACCTATTAGTCTCTGCAATGTCATATATAAATTCGGGAGCAAAGTGATTGCTAATAGACTCAAATGTGTCCTTAATGATCTTATCTCCCCTACTAAATCTGCCTTCATACCCAAGAGACTAATCAGCGACAATGTTCTTGTGGCTTTGAGATAAACCATTTCATCAAACTTAGCTCTAATCGTAAAACAAATTATATGGCTATTAAACTTGATATCAGTAGGGCATAGGATCGAATTGAATGGATTTTCCTGCGCAAGATCCTCACTAAATTTGGAATTCCCACTGATTTTGTTGAGCTGATTATGCTATGTGTTTCTTCTGTCTCTTATTCGTTTCTATTTAATAGCTCACAGATTGGATCATTGCACCCCTCGAGAGGTCTTCGGCAAGGTGACCCTCTCTCCCCTTACCTCTTCATCTGTTGTACGGAAGCTCTAATTGCAATGATCAGTAATGCAGTGGATAGAGGAGACATGCAGGGAGTGAAGGTGGCTCCGTCAGCACCCGTGGTATCAAATTTATGTTTTGTAGACGACACTCTCATTTTCAACCATGCAACCGAGGGTTATGCACAAAATCTGAAGAATATCCTTAATCAATATGCTAGAGTGTCGGGCCAAGAGATTAATCTAGACAAATCCACGTTAATGTTCAGCCCGTCGACCCATCAATCTCGACGGGATGCCATTTATAACATCTTGGGTTTTAAAATTGTTGATCGGCATGAAATATATTTGGGGATGCCTGCCTCAATGGGAAAAACTCGAAATGAGGTTTTCTCTTATCTCCTGGAGCGTGTTAGGACGAGAATCAAAGGTTGGGAAGAGAAGTTTCTCTCTAAAGCTGGCAAGGAAGTGCTTATTAAGGCGGTTCTTCAAGCTATCCCTTCTTATATTATGAGTTGTTTCTTACTTCCGTTGGGCTTGCTCAAGGAGATAGAATCGACTATTAAGAGATTTTGGTGGAGCAATGGCAACACTAAGAGTATGGCATGGAAATCTTGGAGAGAAATGTGCAAACCGAAGAACGTGGGTGGTATGGGCTTTAGGGACATGGAGTCTTTAAATATTGCTGTATTGACTAAGCAAGCTTGGCGCCTCTTATCATGCCCTAATCTTCTCTCACGAATTCTTCAAGCCAAATATTATCCGCATGGTCACCTCTTCTCCACAGGAGTGGGTAACCGGCCATCGGCTACCTGGAGGAGTATTTGGAACGTTCTACCTCATCTTAGAGCGGGTCTAATAAAAAGGATTGGAAATGGGGAAGATACTGCTCTTTGGGCAGATCCGTGGCTAAAAGATGGTGGTAAATTTAATATTATTACAAAGCGACCACCTGATTCGGTATTTCCGAACCGAGTTTCCGATATCATTAATCCCATCACTAGAACTTGGGACTTGAATCTTATTAGAGGGATCTTCTGGCCAGTCGATCGAATCCGATCTATCCCGGTTGGCTCTTCTTTCGCTAAGGATCGATGCACTTGGCATTTCTACAAAAATGGAAAGTTTACGGTGTTATCGTGTTACTATCACGTTCTCTCAGAATGTCAATACACGAAACCATTTTTCGTATAGCGGGACAACGAATTTGAACTGGAAAATGTTGTGGCGTCTGCCGATTCAACCAAAAATCTGCATTTTCACTTAGCGGTTGTGCTCGAACGTTTTACCAACCAAAGGGGAATTGTTTCGCCGGAAAATTATTCCCTCTCCGATATGTGATCATTTCCAAATGGAGGTGGAGGATCCCCTACATGTCATTTTTAAATGTAGGGGTATAGATAGAGTTTCGAGGTCATCTTCTTTTGATAAACTCACTCCTACAGATTTCGCTTCTGTATGGAATTGGATGGAAAAGTTGCACCAATCCTTAAGTGCGGCCTATTTTCACCTCGCGATTATTATAGCATGGAAAGCGTGGGATGTTCGAAATAAGGAATTTAAGGGCAAAAAAGAGGTTGCGATGGACGAGGTTTTACAATGGTCTCGCGCATACCTTGATGCTTTCAAGCTTGCACAACTGCTATCAAACACAAAGACGAGCCTTCCATTACCTAGTGTATGGCGCCCACCTCCCGTTGGGGTGGTGAAGATTAATTTTGACGCTACCTTACCTAGGGGAAAAAACTGCTATTCTGTGGCCATTGTTGCGCGAAACACCGACGGGAAGAGTATAGGGTGGCGGGTTGACACGATTGATGGTTTACTCTTGGCTGTGGAATGTGAAGCTATGGCGCCGATTTTTGATTATCTGGAGCGAATTGGGAATCAAATTGCCATATCTGGAGCGAATTGGGAATCAAATTGGGACGTTTCTTCGAGCCGATGAACGTAGTATCAATTTCCAGAATTTACTTTATGCTAGATTGTGTGTAGAGGTCGAGGTGTCATCATACCTTCCCCAGCGTATTTGGATAGGTGAAACGAAGGACAAAGGATTCTGGCAAAAAATCGATTATGAAGGTAACATAACCTTCTGTTTTCATTGTGGTTTGTTGGGTCACATGCAGGAAATTTTTCGGAAAAAACGTACTCGCAAGACACCAACTGTGCGAAACAATCCCTCTAATGGAATTGAGAATGGAAATCGTAGGGAACCCCAGCCTGAATAGCAGCGTAAGGAGGTTCATAGTCTAACAAGAGATAATGGGAAGAATGTGGTAATAGATCTGGAAGGGCAAGACAAAACCGCTGGTGGAGCGCAAACTCTTGCCCCAACGGCTAAATACCTGAAACTTCATTAGCAGATGCTGGAAGGAAGAAAGTTAGAGGGGTGACCACTAGAAATCGATATGACATTCTGGAGCAAGATGATACCGTTAAGGCAGATTCGCTATTGACTCCGACTCGGGCTACGGCTAAGACTAATAATATGGACGAGGCCAATGAGGGGGATAGACTTACCCCAGCCCCACTATCAATTAATAATATACATTTTGACCATGTCATGCTCAAAGATGGGGCAGCCACTCGTACGGATGAAGAGCTGCTGTCCAATTTGGAGATTCATTATGTTGACAAAGGATCACAGTCAGATGGTCAACAACAAGATGAAGATTATGTAACAACAATAATTTTACCGTCAACCACAGTAATCTTATTATATTTACAGTAAATATTAAATGTAGAATAAAAGAATTTGTTAGTGGAAGGGCATTTTTGGAATGGATTTTATAAAAGATGTGAAGCAAACGTTTAGTTGAGCTTGTTATTTATTTCTAATAAGTTTTGTTATCAGAGACCTATATCTCAAGGCCCCAAATAATTATTTAATCCTTTCGAAAAGAAAAATAAAATTATTTAATGACCATATTAAACACACACATACCCTCAAGGCACTAAGTTCCTAATTTTAAGGTGGATTACCAATTAATGGGGAGATAATTAGTAAGAACCCCCACATCATTTACATATATTAGGGTGGATATAACTCATTTTTTATAATTAGTGAAAAGCCCCCTTCATATTAAACATCATTTTTTTAATTAATTATGTAATGGACATGACTAATACACCCCTGTGTAATTAATTCTTTTTAAACACGTGATATAGAAAAATCTTTGAGATCATGATATATCGGCATATTCCATAACCGTCTCATCCCTCTCTACCATTGCATTAATTTTCACACCGTTTCAAGTCAAGCACGGAGATTCATATGTGATTCAGTTCAGAGAATCGGCTATTGCAATTGAAGAAGAGTTTTTTTTGTGTTTTTTGTTTGCAACCCACTTTTTTTTAGCGCGGATTCGATGCACTTAAATTGAATTCACATGTATGCGGATTCTGTTTTAATTGGAGAAAGTTGTTTGTAATTGAATTCATCAATATGTGATAATATCTTAATGCATCTAATATAACCATGACATATATGCTTGCAGATTGTGGAGAATGCATTCTTACGGAAGATAAAGACTTGGTATCCATGTTTGCGTTGATGCGTGAATTATTGTTAGTGCGTATGGATGTTGTGGTGGAGGGTGGAGCTGATACTGTATGATGTTCGCACTATGTATGGAGGAGTTTAGGTTTCGTCGTCCTGTTGTCATGCTCGATGGTACCTTTTTGAAGGGCGTACACAAGGGCATATTACTTAGTGTGGTTCGAAAGAATGACGATGAACGTAAGCTGTACAGTGCTTGTTATAGCAGTTTTGCAAATAATAGTTGTTCTCATCATATTTAAATAATTGGTTTTGTTTTCCAGCTCGACAATCTTATTCATACATCGAATAAACAGTTCCAATATATTCATTTCACTTTTGTTACAAGCTTGAGTTTGTTGTCGACAATGTTAGTATAGTTGGTTGCAGGTTATGGTTGTTGGTGCACAATATTTATATAATAATTGGATAAAACCAACTATTTAAATACGAACCATACCAATGGTTGCTCACCTTAAATTCAGCTAATTCCATAAATCAGCTGCTTCATATCTACTAATTTCCAAAATAATATATCTCAATCACAGTTTTTTAACAATCACCTGTTTCTAATGAACTATTTACAAATCAATTATGTTACATTCAACTATTTTCAAAATAATATAATTCAAAAACAACTATTATCAAAATAAAAGATATTTTTCAAGTTATAGTCGATTTTCTGAACATGCTGCTTATGCCTATCATTAACAGCAAATACTTAAGACTATACTCAAACGAACATCTATTTTTCCGCAACAACAAATGCATATAACTATACTCAAATGAACATCTATTATCAAAAGATACCACATACTATGGAAGTTAATCTACGTCGTAACAGCTATTACCAAGAATATCTTATGGATACAGATTGATTAAAGACAACTTGGTCAAAAACAGTTTGCTGAAATACAAATTGGTCAAAAAGTAATGATACGTCAACATAAAATACAAAAAAAAAAGAAAAAAAAACATTATAGCCAAGTTCATAATTTTATGATTCTAAAGAAGTTGTGCCCCAATCTAGAAAGGTTTTCACAATTTTAGTTGATATTGTTGGGATTTCTGATTCAGCTTCATCATTTATGATTAGTTGTTGCTCGAAAAGATTTTTTATGAGATACACCACCACAACACCGCAATCAACACTATCATCTTTTTTTTGTGGCGCTTAAGTAAGTGCAACGACTTTGTCGTTTTGACATACGAGTATGAGTTTGTGATGTTTTGCTATTTAGTCCACAACTTTTTTCTGAAATTATACAATACGAGCGTAAATCAAGTCAGCACAAGAACCAGTAACACAAAATATTTAGAAAAAACCTAATACAAATATAACCTCTTCCAAAATCATTTTTTTCATAATCAGATTTTTCAAAAAAGCAGTTGTTTCATTAACTACTAATTTATAAAGTAAACTATTTCAAAATAAGCTATTTCATAAACCACTATTTTACAAACTACACTATTTTAGACACATTTTTTTTATAATCAGGTTTTTTAAACGAATTATTCGACCACAATATTCGTTTTCATACAAATTAGCCTATTTCAAACACAGCTATTTCACGCTCAGTTTTTTTCTACCGAATTATCTTCAACTCTTTTTAATATTTTGTAATTCAAAAATCAACCTTTTTCAACCACAATAGCCATTTTCATACTAAATAAACTATTTCACTAAGCAATTATATATTGAAGAAAAGTTTTTCAAAAAAGAACAAAAAAATTGTTTACATAAATTACAAACGTAATTACCGGCATTTGATTGCCGAATGTCGTTCATTGATTTCGCCTACGTTCTCCTGTACCGCAACAAAAAAAAGAAAAAAAAAAAAAGAAAAACTACAATTGTAAATTAGCTTTTTTTGCAGAATGAAATATAGTATGTAAATGTAAACAACTATTTCCAAAATGTATACTTACTGCTCGCACGCAAACATCTTCTTCAACAACTAATGGCGGTGCGGGGTTGTGTATAGCTTCAAGATTTTCGTTGATTTTGTACCTTGTCGACTTTTTTTGTTTCCCCTTTCTAACATCGCCGATGTAGTTGTTTCCAGACATTCCGGTGATGGAGTTTATGGGTTAGGAAGGAATGGGTTTGCCCCGTCGATTGTTTCGTCGACGATTTAGCCGTTTATGCGATTTAGGGTTTGTAGGTGGTATTTTTTGGAAAGATTTGGAATGCAAGATTTTAGGAATCTGATTGGACACGATTGTTTTAATCTCAACCCCCGGATTTTGTGTAATTTGTTTTTTTTTTCAAAACCGTGGCTTTTAAAAGGCTATATTCGGGATTCATTAAGATAGTGGATTTCCTACTAATATTGAAAAGGTGGCTGGATCCACTCTTATTATAAAAACACTAGAGTGTGTTATGGCTAAAGTCCCATTAATGAGAGCATAACAACTTAATTGTTCGGGTAAATACGGACACATGTCTTTAAATATGGGATTCGATTATGTTCACTTATTCGTACAGTCGGTTTATAATTTGGGGGTAATATGCTAGAGGTCCGTAGTTAGAAACATAGTTAGATGTGGAATACAACCTTAATATTTTTCTATTAACTAAATCCTTTTTAGAAAAATAAATATGAGTCACATCCTCAATTTTTCTTTTATCCCTAATTTACCCTTAACCTAAATCCATAAATTCTAAAGTCACGTTTCTCTCAGATTTATTTTTCTTTTTTCTTCTCTCTCTCAATCTCGTTCCCTCTCTATCTCTCGCATCTCTCTCTCTCTCTCTCTCTCTCTCTCTCTCTCTCTCTCTCTCTCTCTCTCTCTCTCT